CCACCCCTAATTAGGAAGCTACCATGGCCACTGCGATTTTTTTCTGTATGTGTTCTTTTATTAAAGAGTTTGTAGTTTCAGAAAGTCATCTACTTTAGTAGTTAGTTTGTGTAGGGGAGGGATCATGCTTTAAAAAATCACTTTTAGGCTCAGCGCCTGTAGTTCAAGCAGCTAAGACGCCAGCCACATACATCTGAGCTGGCGGGTTCAAATCCATCCCTCGCCTGCCAAACAACAATGACGGCTGCAACCAAAAAATAGCCGGGCATTGTGGCAGGTGCCTGTAGTCCCAGTTGCTTGGGAGGCGGAGGCAGGAGAATCACTTGAGCCCAGGAGTTGGAGGTTGCTGTGAGCTGTGATGCCACAGTACTCTACCCAGGGTGACAGCTTGAGGCTCTGTCTTGAAAAAACAAAACACTTTTAATTTGGAAATAATTACAGATTAATAAAAATTTTTCAATAGTACAGAACAGTCCTATGTACCTCTCACCCAGTTTCCCCCAGTGGATAAATTTCTATAGCTATAGTGCAACAGAAAAACTAGAAAACTGGCCTTGGTAAATTGGTATTGTGTATATATAATCCCAAGCCATTGTATCACGGATTTTATGTAGATTCATGCAACCGCCACTGCACTTGAGATACTTCAGAACTACTTCAGAACTATTTCATCACCACTATACTTACAAAACTTATCACAGTTGACTGGTATCTTCGTTTTCCCAATTCAAGTAAAATATTGAAACTTTGCCTAATTTTAAGGCCCTTCACCCTCCCTCATCTTTAATCATCTTAAATATCTCTTATGTATACTTTGAGAACCACATCAAACAATGCTATAATTTTGCTTCAACTGTCACATATAATTTGGAAAACTCAAGATCAGGAAAGCCTTTTGCATTTACTCTGATTTTTGCCCTTTCTGCTGTTCTTTTTTTCTCGCTGATGCTCTAAGAATCCTTCTTTTGTCATTTTATCATTTAGAAAAATTTCTGTGGTCATCCTTTTAAGGTAAGTCTGCTGACAACAGATTCTCTTGGTTTTCTTGTCTAAGGATGTCTTGATTTCCTCCTTCATTCCTGAAGGATATTTTTGTTGGATATAGGATTCTGGGTTGGTCATTCCCTTTATTCAATGCTTGAAAAATGTTGTGATGCCTCCTTCAGGTCTTGGGGATTTTTGATGGGTTCTGATGGGAACCCTGTCATTCAAATTGTTTTTCCCCTATAGGTGTCATTTCTCTATTACTACTTTCTTTCTTTTTTTTGAGCCAGAGCCTCAAGCTGTTGCCCTTGGTAGAGTGCCATGGCATCACAGCTCACAGCAACCTCCAACTCCTGGGCTCAAGCAAGTCTTCTGCCTCCACCTCCCAAGTAACTGGCACCACAGGCACCTGCCACAGCGCCCGGTTATTTTTTGGTTGCAGCTGTCATTGTTGTTTGCGGGCCTGGGCTGGATTCGAACCCGCCAGCTCAGGTGTATGTGGCTGGTGCCTTAGCTGCTTGAGCCACAGGCACTGAGCTTCTATTACTACTTTCAAGAATTTTTCTTTGTCTTTAGTTTTCAGAAGTTTGATTATGCTGGGCATGGATTTCTTTGACTTTATCCTATTTGGGATTTACTCAGCTTCTTAAGTCTTTAGATTTATGCCTTTTGCCAACTTTGGGAATTTTTCAGCCCTTATTTTCTTAAATTTTTGTTTAGCCCCACACTTCCTCCTTTCCTCCTTAGGTTCCCATGACATCAGCATTAGACCTTTTGTTATAATCTCACAGATCTTGAGGTTTTGTATTTTTTCAGCCTATTTTCTCTCTGTTCAGACTGCATATTTTGTGTTGTTCTCTGAGTTCACTGATTCTTTTCTCTGTCTTCTTTGTTCTGCTCTTAAGCCTCAGTCAGGGACTTTCAGTTTTGTCTATTGTGTTTCACTTCTAAAATTTCCACTTGGCTCTTCTTTATGGCTTCTGTTTCTTTCCTGAGATTTCTATTTCTTTGCTGAGACATTTGATTTCTTTGCTGACTTACAATTTTTTTCATTTGTTTCAAGCATGTTCATAATTGCTCATTGGAGCAATTTTACTGCAGCTGCTTTAAAATCCTTGTCAGACAATGCCAACATCTGTACCATCTTGGTGTTGGCATCTGTGGATTGCCTCTTCTCATCCAAATTGAGATTTTCCTGCTTGTTGATATATGTGATTTTTGACAGCAGCCTGAATTTTTTTTTTTTTTTTTTTGAGACAGAGTCTTACTCTTTCACCCTGGGTAGAGTGCCATGGGGTCACAGCTCACAGCAACTTCAGACTCCTGGGTTAGAGCAGTCTTCCTGCCTCAGCTTCCCATGTAGCTGAGACTATAGGTGTCCTGTCACAACACCTGGCTAGGTTTTCTATTTTTAGTAGAGACAGGGTCTCCTTCTTGCTTAGGCTGGTCTCAAACTCCAGACTTGGGCAATCCTCCCTCTTTGGTCTTCCAGAATGCTAGGATCATTGGTTTGAGCCATTGTGCCTGGTCTTGCATCCTGAATATTATTTTATGAGACTCTGGACCTTATTTAAAATTTCTGTTTGAGCAGATTTTTCTGACACTGCTCTGGTGGGAAGAGGAAGAAGCTGTCTTTTTACTGCTAGGTGGGAGTGGAAGCCCAGTTTCCCCACTTGGTTTCTGCTGATACCACTCTGGCTGAGAGGGGGAGGTCCACTTTGTTGCTGCTGCCTTGTGACATCATGGGGGGACAGGGATAGAAGTCCTGACTCACCACTAGCCTTTCTCTGATACCACCCTATGGAGAGTAGGGAGGGGGAGGGGCACATGGGCACAGCAGAGGGTGAGGATGGAAGTCTGTGCTCTCCACCTGGCCTTTGTTTAGGGTGGGCACAGCGTGGCATGTTTTCCAGGTGTCTGGCTGCTGTAGGGTGGTTATTATCCAAAAAACCAACAGAGATATTTGCACCAGATTGTTCACTGCAGCTCAATTCATAATTTCCAAGTCTTGGAAGAAGCCCAAGTGCCCATCAAGTGCCCATCAACTGCCGCCTCCCGACCTGCGGGCGACGGCAGTTTGGGGAGTCGGCGTATGAAAGGGGAAGACAAACAAAACAAAGACAGACACACTGGGGAAGGGACTGAGCCGAAGCTGTTTATTTTAGGGAAAAACACAATTTATATAGGGTTAGTTGGTGGGGAGGGGCAATATATCACAGTATAACTAAATAAGGTAAGGAATGTAGCTTTAAGTACAGGATAGGTTGAATTACATAGGTGGGCAGGGGGCTATGCAGATGTAGGAATAATGATAAAAGACTAGCTTTTACTGTCTCTGGTCTTATTTATGGTTTCCTTGAAGCACTTCCTCTTGCAGGAGATTAGAATTCTCGTTAGAATTCTTGTTAACCCTTACAATCAACCCATGAATGGATTAATAAATTATTGTCTATGTATACCATGGAATGCTATGCAGCATTAAAAAAGATGGAGACTTTGCCTCTTTTATGTTTACATGGATGGAGCTGGAAAATATTCTTCTTAGTAAAGTATCTTAGGAATGGAAAAAAAGATATCCAATGTTCTCAGTATAACTATTATCGAAGCATTTTCTGTCTTGCTAGGGTGCCCACTTCCTGTTCCTTTGGTTTGATAAAGCAGATTTTTCCTGGGGCTTTTACTATCTGTGCCCATTGGCGTTTCTGGCTTGCTAACTTCTCTAGAACCTAGTCTAGGATATATTAACAAAATGAGAACCTGGGAAACTCATGTGTTGCTCCCTGGGTCCTGAGACCTCCCCTCAGCCTTCCCTCTTCTATTTTTCAGAGACTTCTTCTGTTTGTTTTATATATAATGTTTGGACTTTTCAATCATTCTTAGTGGAAAGGAAGAGAGAGAAAGTTATCTTTCCATCCTGTCGCAGAAACAGAAGGGAGTCGTGAATTTTTGACTTGTTTTGATTCTAATTTATAGGTGGAAACCTTAGAGACTTTCTATCGATGAAAAAACCTGAAGAACTGGTGACTTTTCATTTCATTCTTTTTCATCCTGCCTGTTTTTCCTAAAGCCACATTTCTTTACTCTGACCTGTGTGTCTGCCTCAGAACTGGTTTACATATGTTGTGTTTGGAGACCCAGCAAGGAGTCCAATGGGCTGGGACAGATGGGAGCTATAATTATGGAGACACCAGACAGGAGACTAAGAACTTTAAACTTTTGGCCTGGGGGAACAATTTTAAGTGTTTAATCAGTAATGATGATAATTTGGTGATTTGTCCAAAACATATAATAAGTGTCGAGGTGTGGTGGCAAAAGACTCACTGGAACTTGGCACAGGGGAGAATCCCAGTGTGCAGAGGACAAGCAAAGGACAGACACCAGTAAAGCATGGTTATCCCCTAAGTTTCAGCCCTGACTTCGCCTCCAGGATTCTCCACCTGCAGAGGGACAGGCAGTGAGGCCCCTGGAACCAGCAGGAGTCTTGTTTGTTGAACAAACATTTCTTGCAAACCTACTATGTTCAGGACCCCGGAGAGTTAGGTAAAGGGGCATTTAAGATCCTTGCTCTCAAAAAGTGTATAGTACTTGCCATTTTGTAGATTCCTTTCTCATCCTAGTTTCTCCTTCTGTACCCCCGGGACCAGATGACACCTGCCCTCCCGGAATCTCTCCCGTGACTTTGCTCAGGGACAGACATTAGAAACCAAACACACACAGACAGGAAAGCATTTCACCCAGGCAGCTCACCATAGCTGCATTCACCTGACTCTGAGACATTGTGAGGTGTGCTCAGGTGACCTACCTGTTTCTGGGTGGCTGCCACAGCACACTCCCCACCCCTGGCACTGCTCAGGGAGAAGCCAGGCAGGAGCGAGAACGTTCCTGGCTGGAGAACATCTGCCTTCCCTGGCAGGGTATCATCCACGCCCAGAACAAAGCCTGGCTGGCTCTGATCTGTGCCTTTCCTGAAGTGACACATGTGGCCCCATGGGGAGTGGATGTGCCGTAGGCAGAAGATGGTATTTGGGAGAAAATTTCCCAAAGTCCTCTGCATTGGGCTGACTCTGGTCATTGTCAATCTCCTTCTGGCACTTTATGCTAAAGGGGCTTTCCAGAACTTGATTCTGCGTGATCTCCGCAGGGAGCTCCAGTTGTCTCTGCCTGAGCCAGATGGGGCAATGATTAAGAGACTCTCCAGCTTGGAGGTGGAATTGCAGCATCTGAGTAAGTTCACAGCACTGATTTAGCGGGGATGATGATGGTGCATGTGTGTGGTGTGGTGTGGTGATGGGCACTTAGAGAAAAGGGGGGATGGAGAGAGAGAAACAGGTGAGAGGTCACATTGTCATGTCTCCCTTGCTCACCGAAGCATCTGGAGTTGAATCCTGTGCCTCCAGGTGGGAGATATGTGCTGAGAATTAGGTGAGCAGAAGTGGGAATCAGGGCAAGCAGTATGGGGCGGGCAGCAGGGTGTATATGTGAGTGGTGTGTGTGTGCACGCGTGCTTGAGCACACGTGTGATCACATCCACAGACGTGGAGAAGGAGCAGAGTCAGAATCCCTGAGAGCCTCGGGAATGTGTAGGCACGGCCCTGCCCTTAGGTCCGTGTGCCACACGGGCTGTAAAGAGAGGAAATGAACTCTGAGGCATAGGTCTCAACTCCATTTTGCTGTTTGTTCCTATCATGAATTAACAAGGCCTTGCTGGAGGACCTAAGGTCCATCTTGATAGGGCTGTCATGGCTGTGTGACTTTGAGCTTATCTCTCTCAGCCTCCGGTTCCTGGTCTGCAAGGGGAGATGATGCTAAGGGGAGATAGCTACTTGGCTTCACAGGTTTTGGTGAAATACAGGCAGAAAGTGATCTATAAACTGATACCCACCAAATTTTAACCTCTTCATTGAACGTTCAGGCTGAGGTTTCTGCAGTTCTGAGGTTTGTTTGTGATTCTGGCTCACCATGGAACTCTAACTCCTCTGAATTTTATGTGCCCGTGCTTGTGACTTCAGTGAGGAAGGCAGCAATTTCACCCTGCTTCCTGGGTGGCAGGGATCAAATGCTAACCCCTGAAGGGGGGTGTTGCCTGTGTGAGCAGGGATGTGACCGCTCACATGTTTGCACATGGGGTTGGAGTTGTGGAAAGCCTTTTTTAGTGAGAACTTAGTGTTGTCCGGGTTTGGGGTGAGGCAGAGGGATAGATGGAAGGAAATTCAGGAGGAGACAAAGGAAGAAAGAGAAGACATCAGGGAACGAGAGAGACAGAGGAGGCAATTGAGAGAGGAGATAAGAAAAGGGACAGAGAAGAAGGAGCAGAGAAGTGAGAGTCTGGGGAGACAGAGTAAGAATTTCCATGGGGACAATAAGAGTGAAAAAAAAAATAAAATGAGGTGGGGGAAGCATAAAAGGAGAGAGGAGGAGGCAGAAAGCACCCATAGCATCTCCTATCTCCCCCTGATAAGACTCATCATGTTTTATTGTGGTACAATTTTCCAGAAGACAAGTTTTGTGAGGGCTGGTTCCATGAATGTTTCATTTACCAGTTATTTCTATGCACACATAGAAAACACTAGATGAATCCATGAATGAGTGAGGGTAGGAAAGAGAGAGGAGGACAGACAGACAGGGATGAGGGAACAGGGACATAGGGCAAGATAGTGGACGAAATGAAGGGAGGTGTCAGCTTCATTGGCCCTGGCTTATCGGGCTGAGTCAGACGCTGCCTGTGCAGACATGCTTGGTGTGGCTTCGTCAGGAGGACGCCCATGGCCCCAGGTGCTGATCCAACACCACTGTCACGCCTTAGCAGAACACTCAGACCACACCTAAATTTTCACCCCTCCCAAGGCTCATCAGACCGACTTAGCTCTTTCATGACTTAAAATAGCAGGAGTTTGACCTAAAGCCCAGCTACTCTTTCTCTCAACTGGGATACAACGTGCCATGGAGAGCCATCCCGAGCTACCTGGTCTATTTCCCTGTCCTTTGCAGTGACTGGTTTTCCCTTTTCTTTTCATTCTTGGTGCTCCCACATTTTATTCACTCTAAAATGGTGCGGCATCAGAGACTCGCCACCCCCTGAGATGAACCTCAAGTGTCTTCTGGGCCCTGAGTCTAGGTGCCAATGCTCTTCTGCCTGCAGGGGTTCCCTGTAACTGAAGACCTGCTCATTGCCTGTCATCCTGGCTGCTGTCTATCTCCAGGGTTCCAGGAAGACTGAAGACAACCATAGCTCAACAAGGATATTTAGATAAATTATGTAAACAACCAAGAGTTAAAGCAAACACTCCCTATTGAGGGAGGCATCAGTGACTCTCCACGAGTTTGCTGGGTCCTCCACAGGGTTTCTCCAAGCCCCACCAGCGTGATGTCATCAGGTGTCTCTCCTTTGGGGCTAGTTTCAGTTTAAGTCAGGGGAATGACCTGGTGACAATGTATTCATCCGGCCAGACTCTCTACACTTTCTTAAATTGACTTCAGTGTGTCCAAGTCCAAACCAGTTCCCATTGCCAGCAGTGAGTGAGAGAGAAACTCAGATATCCCCCAAGGAAGGGTATAGAGGAGATTAAATGAGTAGATAGCAGCACTGCCCTGTGACCCCTGCATGCTTAGTACAGTATGAATAATAATGTTCAATTAGGAGCAGTGTGAATATGCTCCCACTTTTATTTTCCACCTGAGCACATACCCATGGTGTTCACATAAGCTTTCTTTGACAGACAATAGCATCTTCTCTCTCCCCCTCATAAGACTTCTATGTTTTATCGTAGTAAAATTTTCTGGAAAGCAAATCTATAGACCTAGCACTTATTTTTCTTTCCGAGTTTGTTTTGATCATCCTCTTTTTGTCTTAAGCAGTTCCAGAGTTGATTTTCCGTATGCCAGTCTTATGCCCCTTTCCAAACATGCTCTCCTACCAGTTATACAACTTCCCTGCTTCTTTGGGGGGCTATACACAGATCTAAAATCTGGCCCCAATTCTGCTCCCCAAAGCCATGGAGCTGCCTCTGCTCTAGGACTATGTCCTCACCAAGTTGGTGACCCTGAGTTGCAATCATCCAGAGAAAAAGGGGTGGCTTCCTTTAACTTGCAGAAAGGTGTTGGATTGGCTAAAGTTGATCCTGTTGGTCTGGTGGAATTTAGTGGGGATGTGGGGGAGGATTAGTAGGAGCTAATTGGGTCGAGTGTCAGAGTGCCTGGATCACCATTGTGGGGTTTAATGGCAACGCGTGCCATGGTCACTAAACACTGAAATTGTTACTTTTTCTCTTTTTGCTGAGTTCATAGATTGAGCTTGAGGGAATTCAGAGCACTTGTGCTAAGACTCCCCAGCATAATCTTAGAGGATGATTGTAAAGGTGAAGTAAATAATGGGTAGAAAAGAGTAGTGAAATTTGTATGCCATTTTCCGAATACTATTCATCCCTGAGGTAATACTTTATGGATCCTGGAAGATCTCCTATACATGAGAAGTCCTCTGCTTGGATCTGTCACTGTTGGTTCATTATTTTGAGTTAAGGCAACAGTTTTCAAATTAATGTGACCATTAGATTTATCTGGATAATTGTTAAAAATATAGATTCCTAGACTCTATGCCAGACTTACTGAGTCCACTGGCTGCCTGGGATTCTATATATTTTTTCCTTTTATTTTTTTTGGGGGGGCATTCTGTATTTTTAATAAACTTTTGAAGACATTCTTATAACCAAGCAAGTTGGAAAATGCAGGATGAAGACATGTCCAATTTCAAAGTTTCTGGTAAATCAAATGCATGGGAAGTAAAGGGGTAGGTGGATGATGGTAGTTGTGGTTAGAACAAATTTGCCTTTTTGAGCCACCAATAGTGTAATATAATGTTTCTCATATTTTACCATACAGAAGAATTTCTCCTTGGTTTTTTGAAAAATGTAGATTCTCATAACTTACCCTGCCTATATCCCCACCTTATCTGGAGAGTCTGAGTTAGCCGATTAGGGGATATGTCTGGAGATCTACATTTTTATTTATTTTTTATATTTTTATTTTTTGAGACAGAGTTTCATTATGTCACCCTCGGTAGAGTACTGCGGTATCATAGTTCATAGCAACCTCAAATTCCTGGACGTAGGCGCTTCTCTTGCCTCAGCCTCCCAAGTAGCTGGGACTATAGGTACCCACCACCACGTCTGGCTATTTTTTTTGTTGTGGTTGTCATTGTTGATTGGCAGCTCCAGGCCAGGTTCAAACCTGCCAGCCCCAGTGTATGTGGCTGACGTCATAGCTTCTGACCTACAGGCACCCAGCCAGATCTACATTTTAAAATAATCACAACTGACGTTCTGATGTAAGTGATTCTCAGACATCATTCTGAAAAACATTAGTTTTTTTGTCAATCGATTTCTTAGATGACAGTGAGTCAATCCCTAGAGAAGTCTTGGAGGTGTGGGACTGGTGTTTTTTTTTTTTTTTTTTGAGACAGAATCTCATTATGTCACTCTCTGTAGAGTGCTGTTGCATCCCAGCTCACAGCAACCTCAAACTCTTGGACTTAAGCAGTTCTCCTGCTTCATCCTCCCAAGTAGCTGGGACTGCAGGTGCCTGCCACAATGCCTGGCTATTTGTTGTTGTTTTTGTAGTTGTCATTGTTTTTTGGCAGGCCCAGGCTGGGTTCAAACCCATCAGCCCCAGTGCATGTGACTGGTGCTCTAGCTGCTGAGCTATAGATGCCGAGCCAGACAAGTAGGTTTTGATGGAGCTAAAAAGAGAGAAATGTATCTAGTGCATGCCTTTTCAGGACAGCCTTGACTTTGACATATCTCTGGGCCAAGAGCTTGTACATTTTAGGATTTGAGGAGTAATTTCAAGGAAATTAGGGTGGAAAGCAATGCCCAGGTGACTGAGGATCACCTGAAGTGTTTTCTCCCATGCCCCCATCCTCTTCATTTGCAGAAGAAAGTATAAAATTGGCTCTGAAGCAACAAGAACACGTGAACAGCACAGTACAGAGGGCAACAGATATTCAAAAAGCAGTGAAATCCAAGTCGAGCGAACCAAGGAAGCACACAGCCCGCGTGAAGCTCTTCCCACACTCAGGGCTCTTCAAGCAGTGGGGTGATGACCTTTCCGAGACCCAGCAGAGAAAGGCCCAGGACCTCTTCCAGGAGTTTGGTTACAATGTGTACCTCAGCAACCAGTTGCCCCTCAATCGCACCCTCCCCGACACACGAGATCCCAGGTAGGATGGACTAGGGAGGGTGCTCCGAGATCTCAGTTTGATTTGGGAGTGAGCTTTGGGAGCAGTAGAGGTCAAGGGTTGGGCAGAGGGTTGGGGTAGTGGGGAGCTGATGGAGAAGGGGTACAGGCTGATCAAGCAGAGTTCTTGTTTTCAATCTGTTTTATAATAGCGCAGGGTATATAGCTGACTGGTCCAAATATACACTGGCCCTTGGTGAAGAGCAGAGATATCAGAGAAACAGATCCTTTAGAAAGTTTGATCCAGAGCAACAGAGACACCATGGGTCTAACGAATGATCTTACCGAAGATAAAACTGAGGCTGAGAAAGGACGTGTGCCAGCTGCCCAAAGTTCAAGCTCTACTTCCTTCTCTACCTTTCCTTGAATTCTCTGCTTAGATTCCTCTTTGCTATTAAATCTAATTTGAAGTGTCTTACTTCTCCTTCTCCTTCTGTTTCCCTTTCCCGTTGTTTTTTTCTCTTTCTGCCTCTCCCAACTTCCCTCGTAATTTTATTGTTGAGGTATAATTTACACACCATACAATTCATCCATTTAAAGTGTACAATTTAATGTTTCTTTTTTGTTATATTCACAGAGTTGCTCACCATCCTCACAATCTATTTGAAAACATTTTCATCACTTTAAAAAGAAACCCCATTTGAGCCACTCCCCATTTCCCCATAGCTTCCCGGTCCCTGGGCAACCCCTGATTTACTTTCTGTCTCCATGGATTTACCTATTCTGGACCTTTCACATAAAAATGGAATCACGGAATATGGGGTTTTTCGTGACTGGCTTATTTCACTGATCATGTTTTAAAGTATCATGCATGGGTGGCACCTGTGGCTCAAGGG